GGGAGTGGTTCACTTTTAATTTTCTTACAACATGCTTGAAGCTTCACATGCTCTGTGCTCATTGTTTTGCAACTGAAAATTATCACCATCCTAGTGTTGCTGTGTTTCAACTTCTGAATTGTTGGCACCATGTTTTTGCCATGCATCAGTATTTGACGGTGACGTCCTGTTTACTGATCAGAAACCAAGCCCAGAAGATGTAGCAGAGGGATTCAAGTGTGGTGGCGTGTTGTGGTCTAGTGATGAATACATGAAGACAGAGGACTCGAGTGATCTCATGTTGTTGTTTGGTAAGTCTCATTCACACGTAGAGAAATGTAGTAAAGTCGTGTAAAGTGTTGTAAAGTATGAGCTTAACGGGAGGAGCTACCCTTGAGGACCATTTTCTATGTTTGTTGCTCGAGATCAAATCTAAGTACACATATAAGTTAGACATAGTAAAATCTCTTGATATGCAATTTTATTTTGGCATAGCTACAACGGTTGCTATGGAAACGGCTGCCATCTTGAAAATATACAATGAATTTGAAATCCGTAAGGCTTTCTTATTTACAGACCACATTTGACCAAATTTGGTGAGAGTATACTTGAACCAAACCCTATCAGAGTAACAGCAAGTTTTTTTAAATACGTGCAAAAGAAAAAAAATTATGAGAATTTTCCCAAAGTATAAAAAAACTTTTTCTAAATTTAGGTTGCGTAATCGCTTGCCAAAGGAAAAGTGTTACTTTTTTCGCAAATATCTTTCTGTTACATTGATGGCAGCCTTGCCAACCATGTTTCCTGAAAGTTTCATGGCAAAAGGATGAAATCTAAGGAAGGAGTAGGGAAAAAACTGCACAAAAATTACATTTTTTGAAAACCGACAATAATTGTGAAAATTCACTATATTAATCCATCCTCGTGTTTTCAAAGGCAAATTACCTGTAGAATAAAGTCTTTCTCAATTGAATCCATGCTATTTTTAGACAAAAAACTGGTGGATCTTCAAAAATCAGCCAACATAAAATGTGCATAGCCTGACCCAAAATCTGCAAAATCAAGGGTCGCTCCTCCCCTTAATGGCTTCCTCTCTTCTCCTCAGAAATAGGAATTTTTACTTGAAGGTGTTTTTACACTGTTTAGATGATTTAGGAGGCAGGCTTCCAAACCTGCCTTGCAAGGCCAACCTGGATTGAGAAGGATGCGATATCCCAGGTCTCCTGCATGCGACAGCGAAGCACCCTGCCACCTCACCAAAGCCACCAGTTTGACTTCAGAGTATTATTAAAATACTTCAAATTCTGTAATTTGCTATAAGGCATTAGCTTGAAATAAAAAGTTTCTTCTCTTGAGTTCAGAGTATTATTTGTCAGCGTGTAGTGTTTTTACTATATACCGTCAAACCTCGTTATAGAAATAATACCTACCTTGGGACGAACATAAGTTTGCGGTACAGTGGGGCTAGCGGTACATCGGTGGGCGGTACAAAAGGAGGTTTGACTGAATATATTATGTCTAATGTATGGTACTGAAGCCGTGTTAGAAGACAGTCTGACTCAGTGTAGACCCAGTGTGGTGTCAAAAAATTAGTTCTCCGCTCTCTTTTTTGTTTTGTAGGTTTGATAAGACAGTGACAAGTAGACAGAGTAGTTGGAAACATAGGTATACTGGCTGAACTCAGTGCTAGAGTACAGTGGTACTTGATGGTACGCTAAATTAACGTTATCGTGTCTATGTGCTTCTCTTTACTCAAACTCAAACTTACTCAACGTAATATTTTTTCCAGATATTGAATCTGCACAGACTGTGGACCCTCAGAGCCCGGACATGAGTGATGTTAGTGAGTCTGAGGTCATCGCAGCGCTCACCCAGCGGTTGAGAAAGGCTGATGAGGCACAGACCATTTTGAAAACAGAACTAGAAAGGGCAGTGGGTGACATTGAAAGGCTAAGGTAACTTGTGGTGTTATGTTGGTGTTGTTATTGGCAGTGAACTAAGTAAGCTGGCCTATTTCTGTGATGAAAGGCATTTATGGGTCAGGTTCAGAGCTGCCTGTGTATGTATGTGGTGGAAGAAAACGTTCCAGTTTTAACTTGAACCATTATGATTGTGAAAATGACAGAAGCCATGGGGGACTATGTTATTCTTTTTCAAGAGAGCTACTGAAGTTGTATTTGGTTGTGATTTTGATGATTTTTCGCAGAATTTCATCTGTGGATATTGAAGACGGTGTTGTGAGATCAGTGACCTTGTAACACCCGTGGTCAAGTTGGTTGTCAGACAGCTGTTCAGATGTATTAAGCCCAAAATTTTGAAAATATTTTAAAACTGCATCTGTGATGCGAGTGAGAAATATTTTGTCAGAATTTTTTTTAAATGCAGGAAAGATTAAGGTATATAAAGTAGGTGCGATTGTTAAATAAAATAAAGCCTTTTTTCTCTCTCTTGAAATATTTTGCTTCCTTGGCTTAAGACATTTGAACCGCGTGGTGCTGATGTCTCTAATGTATCTCTTTATGTATAGGCTGTCGGGTCAACAGTTTGTCATGAGAATGAACACAAAAGATTCCGCCGGTGATGAACGCGACAACTCCAAGTCTGCAGATCATTCCAATTCCCATCTGCAAGAAGAGGATGGATACTTCGCATCTTACACGCACCATGACATACATCTGACAATGCTCAAGGTAATCATTGTTCACTCGCTTCTCTCTATGTTTCGTTAAGTCCTTAAACCACTGTAACTTGTTTCCAACCAATTCGGAAATCTTGTACCGTAAAGGAAATGTGTGTGTTTTAAAGTTCAGTGATTTCTCTTGTAATGGAATATATGGGCTTTAAAGTTCAGTTATTTTGTTGAAAGTGCTAATGAATGTGGGTGGGACTTCATTCTTTCTGTGTCCATGTAATCTCTCTATGTGTATAGGAGTTGTAAAATGATAGAATGATATAGGACACAACTAAATAAAATGTGGCGAGGCAAAGAACACACCCTAGGTAAATGTTTATTGAACAGCTTAAATTACTTTTTAAACCCTGAGTTTTTTCACTGTTTCCTGGAGTTTTTTCTACACTCTCCTAAACCTGGTGCACTGTGTCTCATTATCACCCCAAAAGCTTGACTCAAACATCTACATTTTGTTACTTGGATTGGGAATAGTTCAGAAAAACAAGCAAGAACTAGCTCTAAATGAAACGAAACAGTTGTCACTTGTATCAGACACTCCCAGCTCATGATGGGGAACAGGGTTATTACCGCCGGACGCTGCCAGCACCCGATGGGGTTTAACGAGTTAACAGATGATGACTAATGACTTTCTTTGAACTAAGCTCCAAGTTTGAAATGTTTTTGGCAATATGGAAAGCAAAAGTGTAATGGACAGAACGTATTTCTCCCATTCTTTTGGTAGTGTAGTCGAGTTCAAACTTTTGCCTTGTGTGTGGAAGTAAAGAACATCCCAGTCCAGGACGTAGCTGTCAAAACTAACACAATCTTTTCTCTGCTATCCTTGTAATGTGTGTAAAGCTCTCATCATTTTTTTCCTCTCTCCACTGTTGTCTGTGATGCATAGGTTATAGCTTGTTCACTTTCGTCTGACCGCGGTCAAAACCAAATAAAATGAAATCGCTTTGTTTAAGCTTCTCAGATGTTTGCATATTTGTCTACTAGTTGAATGACCAACAGAATAAAAAAGTCCATTCATAAAGGCCACTGGAAACTAAGGTACCGACACGTTTTCTTTGATGTAAGCCCAAAGTGGGTCAAATAAATAATAGGCGATTTACAGCATACACCTAAAACATTGAATACTTAAGTGTAACACTCCACCATACACCATTTTGAAAAGTGACGTTTGACGAAGTCTTCCACTGAGCAGCTGAGGCATTGTAAATGATGTGGATTGAGGGGTAACTCATCTGCAATGTCAACGTCTTCCTCTGCACAGGACAAAGTACGCACAGAAAGTTACCGCGACTTCATGCTGTGTAACCCGAACCTGTTTGCTGGCCGCACCGTTCTGGATGTTGGCTGCGGAACAGGGATCCTGTCTATGTTTGCAGTGCGAGCCGGTGCAAGCCGCGTGGTGGCCGTGGATCAGTCCAACATTATCTACCAAGCCATGGATATTGCACGGTACTAAGATAAGATAAAATAGTACTTTATTATCCCTGAGAGAAATTTTTCTTGGCTGTACAGGACAAATTCAATGCGAAAAGAGAAGAAAAGCTGTGTGTATCGTGTGAAGTATGAACACCTGGTGTGTGGCATTGGTGGTCTAGTGGTTAGGTTGTTGGGCTTGCAACTGAAAGGTTGTGGGTTTGAATCCCGCCTTATACTGTGTCCTTGGGAAAGGCGCTTTTAACAAATTTTCCTCACTTCACCTAGGTGGGAATGGGGCTTGCTTGGCTACAGCCAACGAAAGAACTTGTCCGTTTTGTAGTTTGTCTGTGGTGGCAGCAACAGGCCTCAGCGGGGAAGTGAGGAAGTGACTGAGGGATGTCGCTCACAACAAACAAACATCAGCCGTCACAACAACAATCACTCACATCTATGTCACCACTCTCGTTGCAGTTGGGGAAAGATTGGTTCAGGAAACATAACCCCTTAATGACTAATCTAACAGGTTTTTTAAATGTAGTTGCTTCCCCTTGAAAAGGTTATGGTATTACTTGAGCTCGCGGATTGACGTCACCCACGTAAACAAATAAGGACTGTCACGCTTGAGGGAGGGAGGGGAGTGGGGGGAGTAGAGAAAGGAGCAAACCACACCAGAGCACCCGCCAACCGCTCACTTATAAACCGTGTATATTGGGGCAATATGTACATGATTGTATACAAATGTTCTTTCCTTTGAGGATTTTGTCCCCTCCGCCTGTGTAGCTTTCTCCCAACGTCACCTTTGACCTCTTCCCTCTCAGCACTCCTTGTTTTACCAATCACTTTTTTGTCTACATCTTTTGGTTTGTGTTTCTGTAATCCTGTCCTGTAGTTTGGGCTGCGGATGACATTTATTGAAGTTCTGTGTATAAGCTGTTATGAAACAAACAAGGAGCAATGATTCCCTTTCTCCATTTCCAGATAGATGTCCAAGTGCTAATTTAAATTTATGCTCCCATCTAGGTGAAAGTTGAATGCGGACATGTTTTGAGTAAATTATGGAAGTGAAAATTGTAGGTTGGACCAGTTTTGAGTAATTTATGCGCCCTTGGAGGTGAAAGTTGAATGTGGACGTGTTTTGAGTAATTTATGCGTCTGTGGAGGAGACAGTTGAATGTGGATATGTTGTGAGCAATTTATGTTCCCATGAAAGTAAAAGACGAGTGTGGAGTGTGGACATGTTGTAAGTAATTTGTCCTGTGGTTTCCCCAGGGAGAACAATTTGCACGAGAAGATTACATTTGTGAAGGGAAAGCTGGAGGACGTCTCCCTGCCTGTAGAAAAAGTAAGTGAACTCATCCTCTGAGATACGGTTGGTGACACATGCCCTTGTCCAGCCTTACTAAATGTCCAGATTTTAGCACCCCACGGGTCAGTGCTACTGACTAAAGGGCCTTTAGGCTATTTCCAAAGGGGGGATATTGACATGTTCTTATGCACAATAGAATTGTAAATGGGCTGATTCATCAATGTCATGCTCATAACTGTGTCTGAACTGCAACAGGGAACTGCTGCTTTTTCTTTCCTCATCCTTACTATCGTCATTTTTCCACTACTTCTTTTGTATGTTTGTCACTCTCTTGTGACCCGCTATTTCCGGGGTACCTTGATAGTCGAAGCAGACTTTGTGCTGTTGAAGCTAGACAGGTGAGCAGAGTAAGCCTGATTCCCTGTATGGACTTCTCTGTTGACTTCCACCCCTTGGCGCTCATATGACCTTATGCAGTTGCGAGCGCCGTAAAAACTCTACTAAAACTAAAAACCAGATTATGTGGTTACTGTCTGTGGTGAAGGAGATGAGAAGTTGTGTATCATAACCTGCCCATTGTAGATCATTGAAATAAATGTTTAACATTATGAGAGTTTTCCTAAAAAAAGACTGCTTTGTGAATATATTTGTTTTTTGATTTGACTCTTGATTTATTTTCATCAGGTTCTTAAATAATAGTTAGTACAGTAGGCAAAATAACTAGTGAAGGTTTCTTTTTGGTCAGTGAGTGGTTGTCGGCTCTGCTGTGGTCTGCTCCTTCTTTCCTATAAAAAATCTATCGTCTCTATCTCCCCTCCTTTTTTGCGTTTGTTACTCTCTTGTTACACCTCTAATCTTTGGCACTTATACGACTTTATTGTGTTGCAAGTGCCGTAAAACTCTCTTACTAAAACTAAATACTAAACTTTTTCGTCAGTTTGACATCATAATCTCGGAATGGATGGGCTATTTCCTGTTGTTTGAAGCCATGTTGGACTCTGTGCTGTGGGCCAGGGATCGTTACTTGGCCCCAGGCGGGTGTGGTGAGTACCTCAGGGGGATGTTTGTCTTCACAACTTTTTTCGTGGCGTCGGTGGTCTAGTGGTTAGGCTCTCGGACTCGCAACCGTAAGGTCGTGGGTTCGAATCCTGTCAAGGGCCCGACGTTGTGTCCTTGGGAAAGGCACTTAACACGATTTTTCGTCACTTCACCCAGGTGGTGGGTACCCGGCTATAGACAGCGAAATATCTTGTCAGTTTGTTAGTGTTTGAGCGCTTAATCGGCTGCTTGCACTGTATGCCTCCCGGGAAGCTGAGAATGTTTCGGAGTGTTCTATGGTCTGCTGGGGTAATAATATAGTGTAAAGCGCATAGAGCCTGCTGCTGAGCGGGGA